GCACACGCAACACACACACGCACATGCAACCCACACACACACGCGCGCACACACACACACACAGAGGCAACCCCCCCCCACACACACACGCACATACAATCCCACACACATGCACATGCAATCACACACACATATGCACACGCAACACACATACACACACACATACACACACACGCAACACACACACACACACACACCATGCACACGCACAGAGGCGGGGCAATAAAAATAAATCTAGAAAGAAAGAACAGCACAGCATTGGGGCAATCCAGCAGCTGCTTTGTCACTCAGCTGCCTGAGCTGCAGGTGGGGTCCTTACACCTTGGTCACATCAGAATGCCTGCCAGACTGAAGAGACAGTGGAGGGAGGGCACAGGGAGGGTTGGCCGCGGGGAGGTGGCTGAGAAAGCTGACTGAAGGAACACTCAAGAGGAGAGCCCTGCCAAAGCAGGGGGAATGTCCCAGGCCAGTGCCCTGTGTGTGCAAAGGCCCTGGGGCATGCGATACCTGCCTGAGTCCTGAATAGCAGACTGAGTAAGTGAGATCAGGGTGAGAGCGGAGGAGGTCTCAGACCCTCAATTAGGAAGATCACCAAGTCCTGCCCCCCTACACACACACCTTCAAGCCTCTAGAAACCCAGAGGTCTGGCTTTCCTAAGCCCACTGGAGTTCCTAGGAGTTCTGGTCCTCCAGGGATCTTACATGAGTGCCTCCTGGCACTAAGCAGACTAAACTGGACGAACACAGGGAGAGCAGAGTGCTGAAGGAAGCAGTGGCCAGGGGAGGGTCCTTGGACAAGGGAATGGCTGAGAAGAGTCAACTGGCTGCCCTGCAAAGCTAACATCCTGATGGATGCCTGTCAGACAGAGTGGAGGTCTGCGGCGTGAGAGGAGTCAGCTCCCCTCTTTTTCCTCCCTTCTGTCCTTTTCCCCACCCTCCCTCCCTTTAGTCAGGCCATCAGAGGCCAAGCCTGTGTCCCCCAAGCTCAGTATTCTAGCCTAGCGCACCACGAACAGAGACCCAGTACAACGGGGAACACCCGCGTCCCTTCATGGTGTGGCCACAAGCCTAGAGGTATGTCCAGATTTGATATAGGACAGATATAGGCTCCATTGCCTCAGACTGGCCTGCCTGAGAGGGGCCAGGAGCAGGTGAGAAGGTCAAGCCAAAGTCAGCCTGCCCACAAAGATGGCGATATAAACAGTGGTTTCTAACCACAGGTCAGCACCTGCCCATCCAGACTGTCTTGGCTGCAAGTGTCCACAGCATGCATTCACTGGTCACTCACGGGGGTGGTGTTGCTCAGCATTAGAACGCTAACATCCAGGAGTGTTTCAGACATGACTGTTCCCAGGGACTCAGTGTTGGCTCTGGTCCCCTTGTTCCACAACAGTTCCCCTGGTGCAGCAGCCAACTCATCCCACCCTACTCCTGGAGGGAAAAAAACCAAACCTTCCCACAAAGGCTTGTAGGCCAGACCGGACAGACGGGCCACCCTGTGTCACTGAGGTGGAATGAGTGGACAGAGCAGTTAGCCACGCCGAATGAAGTTCTCAAAGGCACAAAGGAGCTGGTGGGAAAGCGGACAGGCAGACGCAATCCCCTGCTTTCTGCTTGTTACTCAATGCTGTGCTGTCCGGGGAGGCCAAGGAACCCGAGGAAATAGGAGGAAGCCAAGAATGCAGGGGGGAAGCCAAAGAGGGAAGGAGTAGGCAGAGGAGGCAGGGGGGAGCTCGGGAGGAATCACTCTGCAACCTCTGTTGACCCCCCACCGCACCCCAGGTCAGGGATGGGAACTGGCCTTACCCACAAAGAACCTGGCCAGGGTGCTGAGGTCCTCATTTCTCTGCCAAGTTGGAAGCTTCCACTACAGGAGGATCTGCCCTTCACATTAGCTAGGATGGGCTGTAGGGGCGGCATGGCAAGTCTCTCTCCTAGCCTCTGCTGTCCTCACGTGATACATGATCACCTCTCTCAGAGTCCCAGCAACCTAAGACAGGGTAACACCCCAGAATCCATTGCATCGCAGAGGATGGACACTGGCTGGCCATAGGCAGCCTGGCCAGGGCCGGGTCTTATTCCTAGAGGCCCAGGACAGCTGGGAATGCCCCTAAAGGAAAATGAACAGTTTCTTAGGAGGCTAGGGATGTGGATGTCAGGGTGGCCATCTGGGGCTACTGGGAGCATCACCCTCAGGGCAGGTTTGTGATGGCCGTTACATTGGAACTTTGGTTTCCAAGAGTGAAGGTGAACATAGGGATGCTCAGTCCCTCTGGCACAGAGACCTTTTCTTTCAAGATGACCAAAACCCCAAACCACCAATATCTACAGATGTGGCACGAGACACAGAGTGCCCAATCATAGAATACTGCTTGACACAGACGAATAAAGAAAAGGAGGCCACTCAAAGGAACTGAGAGAAAGAAGCCAGACAAAAGGGGTGTTCAGGATAGGGCAACTCAGTTGGTAGAGTGCTTGCCTGTCATGCACAAGGTCCTAAGACGTATCCCCACAACTGCATAAACCTGGCACGAGGCACACAGCTGTCATCTCAGAACTCAGGACGTGGAGACCGAAGGACCAGGAGTTCAAGGCCAGCCTAGGATATATGAGACTGTAAAAACAAGAAAGAAAGGAGGGAGGGAGGGAGGGAAGGAGAGAGAGAGAGAGAGAGAGAGAGAGAGAGAGAGAGAGAGAGAGAGAGAGAGACGTGATGTTGATTCTGATCACAGAAAATTCTAGAAACTACAAACAACTCTGCAGTGGCCGAGCAGGACCTCCCCCTATAGTGGGAGGGGAGGCAACAGGGTTGTTGGGGACTATCCCAGCATAGTGTGAGCTGTCACAGTACCACTTGGCCCCAGCTCCAGGCCTTTCCCCTCCAGTGGATAGAGGTGTAAGGAAGGCCCCTATAGGCTCACACAATCGAATGCTGAGTCACCAGAGAGTGGAACTCTTTGAAAGGATGGCGGGAGGAAGTGTGTCACTGGGGGTGTGGGCTTTGAGGTTTCAAAAGCCCATGCCAGGCCTAGGCCCTTTCTCTCTGCCTAGGGATCCGATGTAGCCACCATGACGATAATGGACTAACCCTGAAACTGTAAACAAAGCCCCAATCAAATGCATTCACTGATAAGTTGCCTTGGTCGAAGCGTCTCTTCACAGCGTCTCTTCACAGCAGCAGAACACTGACTAAACCAGGTGCAAAGTTGGCTGCCTTCAGCCGTCATGGTCTCCTAAGGAGAAGGAACCAGGGCAGGAGAGACAAGAAACTGAGCAGCCTGCAGGAGGAACATGAGGCATGAGGGAGGACCAGAGAGCGGAGGCTAAGAGACCAAGCTGTGCCAGAAAGAGAGGTCCTGAGGCCCCTCTCTGACACCTCCCCCATGTAGCCCTCAGGTCCATCCCTTGAACCTCAGCCCCTGAGGGCTCATGGGAACAGATTCAAATGCCCCCAGGCTCTGCCTCAGCAGGGCTTCATGACAAATGCCCATGGCCAGGGCATGAACCTCCCTTCTGGCCCTCTGCCTTCATCCCACTGCAGCGTCTGGAACTTGTATTGAACATGATGGGGTAAGACAGGGGTTTCGAACCTTCAGAATCTGAGGCTTCGAGGTGGTATGGGCCTAGGCATACCTCAAGCCCTGTGCAGGAACACTTGGGGCGTGTGGGCCGTAAATGTGCAGGGAGCAGAACCGTTGGCTTGGCTGAGCTCCAAGGGGTTCAGAGAGTAGTTTCTCTGGAGAACGCTACAGCTGGGATTCGTATGCTAATGAGAAAGCTTAAGCTGAAGAGAAAAAGGAAAAGTAATTTGCAGCCTAGAGAAAGCAACCCTCTACAGCCACACTAGGATGAACCTTCAACTCTGAAGTTAATCAAGAGACACCACTAGCAGGCAGGGGCCACAGTGTAGTACTGTCATGAAACCAGCGCCTCAACAAGGAAGCCAGAGAGCAGCCAGCACGGGACATGGGACATGGGGGTGGGGGTTGCGGGTGGGGGGTGGGACTGGGATGGGGACACGACACTGATTTAAAATTTTGTATTCTCTCTCTCTCTCTCTCTCTCTCTCTGTGTGTGTGTGTGTGTGTGTGTGTGTGTGTGTGTGTGTGTGCATGCAAAGGTCACAGAATGAAAATGTACAGAGTTGGTTCTCTCCTTCCGCTGTGTGGGTCCCAAGGATGAAACACAGGTTGTCAAGCTTGGTGGCAATTGTCTTGACCCGCTGAGCAATTTCACCAGCCCTACCTGATGTTTTAAGATGTTAAGTTAAAAGCCGGGCATGGTGGCACGTGCCTATCATTCCAACGCTTGAGAGGTAGAGGCAAGAAAACCAGGAGTTCGAGGCCAGTCTCTCCTACATAGCACTTTAGAGGGCAGCCTGGGTTCCTTGAGGACTTATAAAAAAATGGTTTCCAGGTTTAGTGAAAGTGAGGGGCTGGTACATAAGCAGTACATCCTCTAAACTTGTATGTATAGCACAGAAAAAAATGTTACTAGAAACCTCGTTTTTTAAAAAGTGATGCAAATTTTTTTTTTTCCTGGCAGATACAGGTTAAGTTCCCTTCCATTTAATCCTGAGGTCATGGCGGTAGTGGTGCTCCAGTTGTTGGTAAGAGTGCTGGTTGGCACCGAGGGGAGAGCCTTCCCGAGAAAACCCGGCTAGTCACACCAGTGACTAATCAGATTGTAGGGGTAACTCTGAAAGTCCCCCCAAATCCTTCCAGGTGCCTAGAACACCAGTCATCCCCTTGGCCAGGCCTGCGGGGCCCGCCATGACACACCTGCAAAGAGCCTAGCCCCGAAGGAAGGGCGGCACCCTCAGTATGGCTGTGGAGGCGGAGTCGGAGGCCCCAAGGGAAGCTGGCCAGCAAACACCAGGTTCCCTGCCTGCTCTTTCACGCCACAGATCAGGCTATAGGCAACAGAGATTCAGAATGTTCTAGAACATGAGCACATTGTCCAGAACCAATCCACCCTCTTTTAAGCTGCCCCCAACACCAAAGGACGATAGATGGAGTGAAAAAAAAAAATACAAAGGAAGCAGTGTCCAGGCTTAAGGGAGGTTCTCCAGTTTCTGCCCCTGTGGTTCACGCACCTGCTGCCCAGGCCAGCTGCACTTCTGGCTTCCCAGACTCAAAGGAAGTGAAATTAGAGCAGACTGCTGAGGAGAGCAAGAAGGGTGAGCCTCCAGCCCCAACATCACAGTCATACAGAAACCAGGGGCCGCCCTGCACACTGGCCCCTTAAAGGGAAAGTGGCTTCTGGAGGGGCTCCCCCACCGATGGGCAGGCAGCACCCAGGCTCTCAGGATGCCTGCCTCTTGAGGGTCACTGCGTGCTGCGCTGAGCTGTATAGAGGCTGGCCTCTCCCTTGGGGGAGCCTTGGTTTCCTGTTCTGGAGTAGGGCCTGAGAGACCCAATCTTGATGTGGCAGTAGCAGAGGTAATGAGGACCTTGAGCCTGGACGTGAGGGTCACAGGCACATCCAGATTCGCCAGCCTGAGCTCAGCCTGGTTGGAGAATCCCAGCCCTCTTACAGTGGTTGGGCGACCTCCTGTGATGTGACAGTGACGGCAATATGCTGACAGTTGTGTCTCACCGGGGGCTGAGTGGGTTCTACGAGGTCACGGGCAGGCCTAGCATATCCAGGTGCTCAGCAGATGTACTTCCTGTGTGGTTTGGTGGATTTATTTACGTTCTCTGAAGCACCCTAAGAGGTGCCTGGCAAAGGTATAATAAGCGAACTCCCAAAACGTGAGGACCCCTACTCTAGCCCAGCCCTCACCTGGGGTTAATTCCAGACTGCACTTAAGCCTAGGGACCCCCAAACAGGCTTGTCCTTTCCAGACGTACATCTGATCATCACAGTCCCCTGTCCTGGATTTCCACGTGTCAACCAGACATGAGCTGCATCACCTGCTCTGTGGTTCTGAGTTTGTTCAGCCACACCCTGAGCTGGGCAAGGCTGGTGGCCAGCACTGGCCAGGCTCACCTGGCACTCAGGTGAATGGATCCTGCTACACTAACTAGACACACCTCACTTGAGACCTGGAAGCAGAGGTTGATGGCCTGCTACTCAGTTCACATGGAGCTGCACATGAAACTGTCCTCCTAATCTGGGGTGGCTGGGACTTACAGCCCTCTTTCCAGGATTTAGTAGCTGGAGACATCAACTGGCTGACCCTATCCTTTCTGTGTAAAATAAGTTACTGTGAGACTTGAATAGCCTCATGTTTTCAT